AAAGTTGCCGAGTCATGTTTTGAATTGCGCCCGAAATCAGCGTCCGGGACACGTTCTCATTCAGCACATTTCATATACGCGATGTCACGCACCGAACCGACGAAATACTAACGGAAAATTCCAAAAATGCGTCTTTAATAGACGCATCTTTGAAAATTACCTTTTATATTGTTTTCTTCAAAATGACAGCATACCAGAAAGAACAATTTCACAGGGAATTTAGTGCCTCGGTTTTGCCCTTCACCGACACGACGTATAAACAATGTATACGCAGTGTGTTACCTCCCGAGTGAAAGTTGGAAAAAAATCACTCGGGTGGGACTCGAACCCATGACCTGGGGGGGGGGGGGGGTGATTCAATAGCCCATCCCCCCGGTCAAAAAGTGTGGGGGGATATATACCCCCACCCCACCCCACCCCACCCCGGATTTACGCCTCTGCTTTAAACCAAGTAAGCTTTTCAGCAATAATTGTGTCAGTTACTTTTTGGATAGCTGCAAATGATCTACTCTACCTTTAATGAGAACCACAGGTTATGAAATCTTAGGTTTAGTGCTGGCCCCAGAGGGCAGGGCTACCTGACTGACTGGTCAAGTCACTGACTGACTGACAGTCACGTGTGAGCCGGGCAGTGCTATCTTATATAGGATTACCCCGTTTTAACGCCAATAAAGCAGCCTAAAAACTTTAAGCTATAAAATCCGGCCCATTTTGTAGACAAGACGCACGAAAAGACCTCCAGCGATTATAGACATTCTGAATCTAACATGTTTCTTCAGGTTTTCGAGCTAGAGTGCCTCAGGCACTTTTGAGGAATCCCGAAGTTTCACCAGAAAAAAATAAAACAAATAAATAAATAACATAATATATTATATTCAGTACAATAGATCTTTTGGCACCCTGGGACCAGCTTTCAACTGGTTTCCCCTAGTCTTGTTCGGTTACTTGTATGGAGCCGCTGTCTTCAAACGCCGTCAATAATTACACTTATGGCCAGATTCGGAGCGGGAATATTGCATGCATGTCGGAAATACACGTACACCAGTTATGTTGTTAAGCCTCATTGTATCGACAGCCTTATGTGCGCTGGACTGCCGAACAAAATGCTGGCACCCATTAAGCCCACTCATCAATTCGACTGGATTTTACACGGTAGGGAACATGCATCATCAGGCCATGGCACTGCTGGGCATTGTTGGCCAGGTTTACGCCATGACATTAACCTTTATAGTTTAGGTAACAAACGGCCGTAATAAATCAAGACATATTATGTAGGTGAATTATTTTCAACGAAACAGCTAACTGATTTGTGGAAATAAAGATTGCTATTGGCGAAATCGTGTTTCGTGATCAAAAGGTTTGCATGGTTTTCACTGTGTTTTTTTTCTTGGAAAAGTGCCACTTATGTTCGACTGATTAGGTTTTCAATATTGGATTTTGAGTGGTGCTGTTATTGGAAACGAACAAAATGCATGAAAAGCAAACGATCATCCATGCCTTTAAAAAGGAAACCGATATTGCTTTCAAAGGCATTCAATTGCGAAAATGCTGCCTTTAGTGCCTTGTCAAAAATTGTCAGGGAGCCGGTTGGGTACCTCAGGTAGGCTAGACGACCCCCTCGGCAAATTCAAGGCTTTTGTCATTTGTAAAATGTTGGCATTGTAAAAAACCTACAGGTAACTTGAAAAGAATATACACAGTCCTTTAAAATCAAGTCTAGCATGGCAATCTGACCCAGAATAGCAACCTGCCCGTCTGTCCTTGGGATAAACCTGTTTCTCTATATCTCTCTTCCCTGGTTGACCGGTTAATTGGCAATATTTGCCGCTGAGACACACATGATCAGCCCGCCAGGCAATTTTCAGCATATTCAGGGTCAATCCACACTTCGTAATGATTCTGTCAAAGCACATTATTACTGGACTAAAAGCCGACAAAATGAAGAACAAACGAACAACTGAGGCATGCATTATAGAGGCAGGGCTGACGCTTTCTCACTTGGCATATTTCACTTCAAACTCGAGACTTGAAAAACGTTTAACCTAAAAGACCCTTTTACAGGTTACGGAATATGCTAATTTCACATGTGACCCTCGCTGTGGCGGTCAGCAAAGCATGGTTAACCCTGAAACCGATGGGGGGGGGGGGGGGGGAAGCACGGAGGTGCACTACATGCTCACGGCTACGGTAAACGATTTGTGATGAACGCATGCAGTGACTGCGCGTTTTCATGCTAGGTTAAAGTTTAGTTTTGAATCTATTTTGGTCACTTCAAAAATACTGCTCCGTGTCAATGTTGCGATATAATTATAAAGTACTACATGCACTGCTGCTTGCTACTCTATCCATGTATATAGTCTTATCATCAGTTGACGTGCTGTGTTAGAGTAAAGTATAGAAGCATGAAGTAGAGAGTAACAGATAACAATTAAGTTCTATAATCAATAATGCGAATGAAGGAAAGGTTAGGAGGTCACGTACACTTCGTTCGATTGCAGGTACGTGGAGTAGGGAACACGCAACATCAACATACTCCATGCAAGAACGATGAAATGAAGATCAATAAGCGATCGCCACAATTTCACATTCGAAACAGAATTCAAATTCACACATAACTGCATGGCATTCAATTTTCTGAAGATGATCAGGATAAGTGTTACCGACTCCTGTTTGTCCAAATCAACAAATAAGACTGATTCGCGTTTGGTAATTTCTCAAGATACTTCCCAAGGAATCTATTAAATTTATCGGATGCTAGATGCGACTTTAATGACCTTCTGCCCTTCGCATGGTTTGGTGAAAGAGACTATGAGCGTCTGCCATATGCACAAGTTTTCACCTGATTGCTTAGTAATCGTCATGATAACTATACTTGAAAAGAGTCTCCCTTTTTCAAGGTCCAACATGGCCGCGATTCACTGCAAAATATCGAATTTTATCTTGTTTGTTTGTCCCTGCAGGAGGGAATAAAACATGGGAGGTTTGCTCAACTGCATGCACACTCATTCTAAAGCATACACGGAGAACCATCTCTGCATGACGCTTGATACTACACATGCAGTTCGCTCAGGACAATGCTCAATGAAAGACATTTCTTATTGTACTGCTTTGTCCAGTCTATAATTATACCTTTGAATGCATTTGGATTGACGTCACGCGCGTTATTAATCATTAAACGGCACATTACCTTTTAATGCTGCAGTGTGTTATTATATCTCTCACAGAATACAATTCAATATCCGTAGGTCTAATGGTATCCGTCTCATCGAATTTCTTTAGATAATAACTCAACACAGAACGATTTTCATTTCAAGAAATATTATATGACAATAATTATAATTATATCATTTATCAAGTAGAGAAGGCGAGCACGGAATATGCAAATTGTTTCGCATTTATAGCCTAACTAAAAACATGCACATGTCCTACACGATGACAAAAGGTGTGCGAGTAAAGCCCTCAAATTGAGCCTTGATGACCAAAAAAGAACACGCCGACTCCATTGTATGCGCGTTGCATTTGCTAGAAAGAGAATTAATTATACTTTCCCGTGCAATTCAGACAAAAAATCGCGAAACCTTAGACTTATCGATTTCATGTGCTCACGATCGAACCTTATTCCAAGACAACTTGCTATGATGAAATCCCCAGCTGTCCGATCCTAACGAGAAAACAATCTGTCTAAAAATTGGGTCCCTCGCGTGTTTTTTAAGCAAATGATAATTATGGCTCTTTGCACAAAGGGTGAACATTCACTCTTCCGATTGAGCTAGGGAAAAGCGCGGGCGTTTATTGAAACTCTTTCAAAAGCAGAATATAACTTTCCACTCTAAATCCTGTTACCCCTCCTTGCATTAGTCGATACAGTGACATTCCACACTTAATTTGTAGGATTAATGTACAATTAATAATAATAATAACAATTGGGAGGAGGAAAATAATCCTTACTCGCGGCTGAGAAGCTGAATTGCGAAGAACGCAGATTTTTCCGGAGGGAGGAAAGCCAGAGAGCCGGAAAAAACCCTCGTGGCACAGGAGAGAATCAATGCACAACTCTACTCACATAATGGTCCGAGCCGGGAATCGAACCCGGGCCACAGTGGCGAGAGGCAAGCAATGTACGCACTAGCCATCACTGCCACCTACTAAATTGCATTGCAATTATACTATAATTATTGCAACTTACCTCTAACTCATTTACATTGAAATTTTCAATATTCCCATTTCCAATATATAAAACCCAACTATCACCGCTTCGTTGGTAAACGGTACGGTGTTATGTTCAATGCGCGATCGACGCCGCTGGTTCCAGTCCGACTTTTAAACTCTTAAACAATAAAATATAATGGACTTTGTGACCAGGTCAGATGAGAGTAGCACGCGTTTGAACACAAAATGTCGAATGTGCCAAAGTTTGGTTCGAGTAACCACAATCCTTTGCGTTTCCTTACACGATAGAGTGACCGGAAGTCAACTTGTACTAATGGCATTAGTTGAGACAAAAAGGTAAAGAGGGAACTAATCCAGTACAGCAAATAATCGTACAGTGTTATAGTACTGCGTGTAATTATGCAATATTGTTAATTAGCAATTAAATTTCATATAGTGATCGTGCCAATTGCTATCCAACAGAATTCGAAATGAAAATGGGTATTTCCCGAAATACCCGCAATTTTTTTGCGAGGCTCTAGCGTCGGCGCGGAAACAACAACCGCCATTATTTTTATACAATTTTAAAGCTTGGGATCTTAACTTTATCCCTGGTGAGTTTTGGTTTAATATTTAAAAGAGTTTCAAAATTATTCATTTCAAATAAGGGCATGTCGAGAAAAATAATCAACCGATTTCAAGGGAAATCGATGATGTGGTACATCAGATGCAAACTCGAGTCAACAAGCTGTTGAAATAACCAAAAAATATAAAACAGTTGATTTATATTAAAAACGTATTGAACTTGAAACGAAGAACAATAGTGTGAATTTATTTTAGGTGTAGTCTACGTGGATCGAAAAAGAAAAGGAAACACAAAAAGTAAAAGGCTGAGATCGTCACATTATGAACATGATGAAGCATTTCCACATTAGAACAAAATGCACATGGTTGATTTTCTTTGAAATCGGTTTACTTCGTTTTTGACATGCCTATTTCAAAACCTTTTTGAAAATCAAACCAATACTTACCAGAGATAAAGTTAAGATTCCAAGCTTTAAAATGATATGAAAATAATGGCGGTACGTGTTTCCGCTGCGACGCTAAAGCCTCGCAAAAGAAAAGTTGCGGATATATTTGGGACTCGCTGTATTTCTGAATTACTTGAAGCATGCATGTATGGGTGAAGTGGATGGTTTTATGCCCGTCGTAACTAAGTCATTCAGACGCAATCTTAGTATCTATGATACTGTTAATCATTTCTGGTATGCGATCAGCTTATGATATCGGATCACGGCATAATACATGACATATTAATGAGATGTGCTGAGAAGCAGAAGGTCGTGGGTTCACATCCCAGTGAGGGATGTACCGAGCACTCAGTGCCTGCATATGGCATCGATGGATGGCAAACATCTTGTTCGTAACAATTATTGTCAACAAATTGCGAGTGCAATCAGGTTAATCATGTGATAACCTTGTTTCCAAAGAAACCATCAGCATGACCACTTTCCCTGATAGTAATAGTGACACCGCCTGCTGTTACATCAGTCACCACTACCCCCTCTGATCTCTTGGCGCGTTGAGGCATGGACGCATCCAAGTTGGTGGGTTTGGCAGGCATCGAGATGGCTTCTTTGTTTACTGGAGGAAATCTGAACCTCCTCTTCAGTTCTCTGTCGTTTGTGTTGTCATGGCAACATTCTTGTGATGATTGTTGATTGGCAACAGGCTCGCGTGTGGTTTCTACCCTTTTTGAATTCTTTGGGTAATATTTGATTTCGTCCGGGTCAGAAAAATGTGCCTCATCCGTGTCCGAATCGTCTTTTTCCTCCGTCGGATGATGTTCTCGCAAAGTCTCGGTAGATGTGATCCTCCTGAGCACGAGTTTTGGCGAGAGCTTGGGATCCAGGCGATGCTGTTCCGTATTTCTGTCGAGCTGTAGTTCTGGCAGCTCGTCCACGTAAAAACTCGCGAAGTCTCGTTCGGTGGCGGCGCAGGCTTCCCGGTCACCTGATTCGGACGTGTTGAGTGAAGTCTGACTACGGTCCGAGTTGGGACTCCATGTCCAATCCGATCGGTAATCTCCCGGGTTGACTGCCGCGGTATCTCGCCTACCAAACGAGGCACTGGGAGCCGAAGTAGACCTGGAGTAAGCCTTCCGAGCGGTAAGCCCCACCGTATCTGACGCCTGATTCCCTACCGGGAATCGCGACGATTGCCCCGGTGGAGAGGCAGCGGTGACCACTGGGGTGTGCCTCGTACACCATGTCCCGTTGCTTGGATCCTTCACCAATCGAAATCGGCTTGGAAATTCAGAGTTAGGCCAGTCATATGGTACATTAGACAGGTACATGGGAGACGGCTGTGAAAAGAAAACAAACAAATCACAGAACAGTCAGTTTTGTTTGAAATACTTCAACTTTGAACGTTTGTGCACTCTTGTAAAACAGAGGTACATTAGAAAATAAAATGGACAATCATTTGTTCACTAAAATGTCATCATCATAAAGGATAGAAAGGCAAAAAAACCCAGTTAAGACGGGGAAAAGTAAACTTTGTTGACCAATGAAACGAGGGATGATGAAACGTTGTACTAAGAAGCAAATGTGCGAAAAACCTAAACAAAACAGATGAATGAGTATGATTCCATATTACACTGGGCACACCTTAAGTGATGGTAATGATGATGCATGCATCGCGGTTTCGTAGATAATTATTACGAGACAATTAAAAAAAAAGCTTTTTTGGATTTCCTTTATCTGTCATGGCACCATTCAGTGGCATAACTAAGGGAGACGCCGGGGGGGGGGGGGTTCATTCAAGGTCAGTGCAACATCTTTAAGTGTGCCCCGTGATGAAATGTAAGGGGAAAGGAATGAGTATTATTGTGCAAAACCCATTGAGTTCCCCCTTCAGAAAATGAAGCCCCTATATATACTCTTGAAAAATTCTACAGGGTGAGTGAAAAAAAAAACCAAATGACAGGACCAATTTTTGAATGAAGTTTTGCCTTTAGCACTTATATGAAAGCCCAGTCATTAAACTTTCTTTAGGTAAGAGAATCATTCACATCACTCATGTACTTTTCAAGTTACGGAACTTTGCACACAAAACACCGTTTTAAAGCTCTGTCTACGGATCACAGAAGAGGTAAGCGTCCTTCAACAAAACGAATTCAATTCAAAAACAATTCTCTCAGGGATGCATGTGAATTGTTTTCGATTTGCTGAAACATTTACCTTTTTTTGGGATCCGTGGACAGAACTTTAAAAAGGTGTTTGTGTTCAAAATTCCGTAACTTGAAAAGCACATAAGTGATTTGAATGATTCTTGTACTAAAAGAAAGCTCATTGATTGGGCTTTCATATCCTAGATTTTGAAAGTGCTAAAGACAAAACGTTATTCAAAATTGGTCTGCCATTTGGATTGCGTTTTTTTTTTTTACTGTAGTTAACTTTGAGTGGAAAACGTCAAATTTGCATACAGCTAATCCTAGCTGTAGGAAATGGGTGCACGTTTTGACTCTTTCTAGTCAAACCTAACCAGGTATTTTGGGTCCCCTGCAGCATTGGCCCCCGTTAAGACTCTAGAATTATTAAATTATGGAACAAGTAGAACTTCATAGATTGATTGGGTTAATACGGACAAAAACTGACATTAGATGCTGAAATGTGAAAGTAAGCCAGCCCTGCACGGTTTGTTTTTGCGCGGATCTATATTCAGAGTTAATATTAATTTGGTCAGTAAGATTTATTCTTCATTTTTTTGTTTTCGAAATCGATGCCATGATGTACTGGTGTATGATTGAACAATGCCGGGACACACACAATCCAAATAATAGCAAAATATTAAATTATGGAACACATAATCCAATTTTCCCCCGAAATTAAAAAAACTGAAGGAAAAAAACTATGAATAATCTCACCTATAAGCAAATCTTGCGTACGCTAGAAACTAGCCATTTCTATCCCATATATCCCATATAATAATACACAATGAATCTTCCTAGTTAATCGTCTCAGACTGTCATTAAGTCCCCAGCAATTAATGCTTTATTACGGACGAGGTTTATGCCGCACAGCCGTTGCTTTTAATGTACCTTTCATGTACCTTTTGACGTGTGGCGGTCCGAGCACGCTACCAAAGGCAATGATGCAAAAACTGAACTTGAATTCGAATTTACATGATATGCGTATACGGTTTAAAAGGTGTGCGTACAGAAACATTGGATCGGGGGGGGGGGGGGGGGGGGACGGGGGTCATCCCCCCCCCCCACCCCAACGATTTTATTTTTCGGAGGAGTGAAGACAAACATTGCGTATATCCCTCGCTAGCCGTCACCTGAAATAGCATACGCTACTAGAGATATACTTCATCCACTTCCCCTTTTTTGTAAAACAAATACTCGAGCCCTCTTGGCTCCCCGAAAATTCTGGATCCGCCCTTGACAAGAAACGTCACTGCGGCACCGGAAAAAGTTTCCTGTTACTTCATCTTTTTTTCCGTTGTTATTTCATCGAGATAACCATAGGCAGTGTGTAATATCGAGTTTTGGGTATGTTGGGATTCGACATTTTTTTTAGCATAAAACAGTGAACTAATCGCCGGATTTTTCCGAGCCACATACAGATACCATTTTCAATGGTCCCTAATTGTATATACGCAAAGGGATACCTTACGCATTTCGTGTGTGCCAAACTGTGTAATATGATATATGTGGTATATCTTTTTATAACCATCCCTACCAGCACAATATGCTACATCATTATACAACAGATGGTGTCATCTACCATTATGACACCAGCATTATCTACCTTGATTGAACGTTTGATATTTACTCGTGGTTATATCACCTGTTCATTCGTTGTTTACAGAGAGCCTGTACCATACCTCTGGTAACCACAGAGGATTCTTTATATCACACCATAATTTGCTGTTGTTTTCATTTTAATTTATAGAAATGAGAGCAGTGGCGTAGCCACGGGGGGCTTGGGGAGGGGGGGGGTGCGACAGCCCCCCCCCCCATGAAACCATGTCGCCCCCACTGAGATTTTGACTTTCTAAAAAATTATCATTGATCTACATGACGCCCCATGAAATGTTCCAGCCCCCCCCCCCCAGCGCCCCCCCCCCCCCCCCCCCCCCCCCCCCCCCCACTGAAAAATTCCTGGCTACGCCACTGAACGAGAGTTCAACGAAGCACGAAGAGAAGTTGCATATTTCATTGAAATCAGTTGGATAACTTTCGGTCATAGGCTGATACGCCGAACTGAAATATAGTCGTCAAAATCAAATTCACTGTTAAAAGCAGACTTTTCCAAATGTACGTGTACACTAACCAAATGAGATTTGGATGCAGAAGACGACCTCAGAAGAAACAAACCTAGTGCACATTACACAAAGTGGGTTGGGTTAATTTCACCCAGGAATCAAGGCTGAAAATGATTTGAATGCAGGGATTAAATTAATATATCTTAGACAGAAAATAGCAATCTTCTTAAAATCCTCAAAATGTAGTCGATGAAAAATCCTCTTGCACAACACGAGCCTATAATAAGCGAAAGCCCACAACGTAAGCTTTCATTTTGTATATAATAGAGCTCCATAGTCCCTCCCATTCTGGAGATATGACGTAACATAACATTAATAACGTCCTTAGAGCTCAAATTACACAACTGAGAAAACAGGCTTTGTGTTCATCAAAATCAACATTTCTGTGAATGAAACCTGAAACTGTAGGTATTAAAGATGTCATTCATGATAAAAAATGAAAATCACATTTTGACAAAATTTTCATCCTCTTAATGTTGAGCGGGCGATTACACAATAATGCTCAGCGCGACTTAATACTCTTTTGTGGAGCTGGTCACAGATATGTAGGCTGACAACAAAACTTCTTAAAAAAACATAAACAGCCACACAACTGCATTGTCTAGACCTCCCATCCATTTTGTCATCATCTGGAATTCGCACGTGTATCGATTATTCCTGCTTTCACTTCATATAAACTCTCATCAGACGACACGATTTCTTGGCGCGCTTTATTTTCTGACTTGGCGCCTTTTTTCCCCTTTCTTCTCACCTGCGATATCTGCCTTCTGGGCCGTCGACCTCTGCGTGACGTCACACCAGTGCGCCTGCAAAGCAAACACAAGACAGTTTATGTCATACTGCCGACAGTGTGTGAAGAATAAAGGCATTGAGTACTCCTACTCTAAGATTATTCAAAACACCGTTAAAAAAATCAGTCTATCTCCGAAATATACATGGCAAATTCACCGTTAAAAACATCCATCGTGTCAAAAAAAGAAAACGTGCACGGAAATTATTCAGCTTCAATATTACTTCCGTCAAGTTCAAAGTCTTCAACATTTAATGGCGTTGATCTCCGATGCAGACAAAACGGGCAAATTAAAAAGTCACGAATAGAATTTGTTTGAAGCAAAAATACGTGCTCCCTTTATAGTGATAACATTTTAAAAAAAATAGGAATTTTCAACATTTGATTTGAAATTGTAATTATCTCTTTGAAGTTGCAAGCTGCCAAGGAGAGAACGCTTGATTTGTGGAAATTGTGTGCGATTTGGGGCTCATTTATTTTTGTACCGTATTTGAGTTTATCAGTATTTCAATTTCGTATGATTATAATCGAATTCAGATGTTTTTTTTATAGAGTTTCAATTACCTCCGAGTCCAAAAGCCTCACCACCACAGGAAATTTTATGCAGGAAAACTTGAGTACAGACCTGACGATATATAATCTTCGACAACATGCGGCCTCGTTTCATTATTGATCACAGAAACTTGACGAGTTAAAAACAACGACTGATTTTTCTCTAGTCACGCGGTATTATCTAGCTTGCAGAACTTGCCGGCACTGAGATATTCACAATATTATAAGGACTTGAGACACGACCACAGACTGCGCCGACTTAATAACGAACTATATATACTAAGGGAAATTTCCAAAAATGCGTATTAGTCACATCGTTTGAAAAGGCCTTCCTAAAGTGTTTTCTTCAAAATGACAGCTTGAAAGAATAATTTTAGAATAGTTTAGTACCAATACCATCTAAACCAAGTATGCTTTTTAACAATAATGTCGTCATATACTTTTTGGATAGCTTCAAATGATGTACCATTCTACAAAGGAAATAATATCTGTACGGCAAGGTGTAAACGACTCGCGTGGATGTCCAATTCATCAATTTTTAACGGCTTGATATTCGATGACAGAGAGCTGATTAAATAGTTATTATTATTGGAAGAGACAGATAATTTGCTGCTTATCAAAGGCTGATATATACGTATACATGATGATAAACGTTCTCTTTCGACTTACAGAAACGCAAAGGAGTGTGGGTAAGCCGAACGCCAATGGACCATTCCATGGCAACTCACGTTACATTTTTAGGATTTTCCGTTAACTCTGTGCTGACGCTGTTTTTTTTTTAAATAAAGTCAAAGCATTAAGAGGGAGATTTTTCTTACAAAAGATCCCTTGAAGTTGAGTGACTAAGCTACAAAAAAGAAAAGAAAAGATGCCAACAAAATAAAGTTCTGTTGGTTTGGCAATACTTTTTTTTTAATCGGCGACTCACGTTTACACAAAGAGGACATGGCAAAAAATAAACACCATGCAATTTAAGTTCACTCATGTGCACTGTTGGAAACATCTTGTCAGTGCCATTTTATCATTATGCTACCATTATTTCAAAACAATTAATCATGAAGTCGCTAGAGCGATACATTTCGGTAACTCACGTTACCGTTACTCACGTTACAGTTTGTCCCCGTGTTTGGTACAAGTTAAAACATAAGTACATTGTTATCTAACAAAATATTATACAAAACGTGAACCTTTCTCTTCGCCTGAAAAACAAAACCTCAAAATAAGACTTGGCAAAATAACTATGTAAAATCCATAATTTTAGAGGTCCCCCATTCCATGATACACCACTGAAATAAAAGTTCTTAATTGTTGTCCTTTTCAATTTGATACCACATTAATTTTTGAGTTTGTGATGCTTGTAGTTCTCACGATTCCCCCTATTGATCAGGCAGCCGTGTCTACTTTCTCATGGAATTGATGTCATCACTTGGCATCCAATCATGGCATACATGATTTTGGTCTCTTTCATATTCATTATCTCATTGAATCAATCTGCACGCATGCGCTCAGACTGATGCGCAATCAACCTTACATTTCCTCGTCTTTCAAACATTGCATTGTATGCAAATCTCTCGATTCTCTCATGAACGTTCTTGCCTGCAAATTAAGTATTGACGAGGCTGGAAAGATAATTCCGGACCACTTTTTGTGTTTGTATTTCCTGATATTTAGAGGTGTGGTCAGCTGTGTTGTTTACATCACCCGTGGCTTCGGAATATCAATTTCTGTGTTAAAGTACCTTGCATGAGAAAGTAGGTAAACAGTGTAACATTAAAGGGAAGACCCCACTCAGTAATTGCCATGCTTCTCACCAACAGGAAACAATGCACACTGCCTCTATAATTACCCTCTTGTTAGCATTGTCCTCCATAACTCTTCTTACGGATGTGTTATTTTTAGGTTCAACGTAGCAGTACATTCACACTGCATTTTTGCCTCGTCGTAGCCTCGCATTATATTTAGAAGTTCGTCTATGTGTCGCAAAGCAATATACAATGAAAACAACTCAATTATGGTTGCTGACAAGAGGCGGATAACTACATTCCATGTTCTATTATTAATCCTTTTAGCACCGCTTTCGGACTGCCTTCTAGAGTAGAGCTGCGATTCAGAATAGTGAATGGAAAATTCATAATTAAGCACTTGCCTGGAAAAGTTAAGAACAATGCCTTGTTTTGTTTTATGCAAGAAAGGTCTTTTTAGTCCCTTTATAGTCTTAAATTCTTTAAGCTACTTAGGTCTCTTGCTAAAAATCTTTGGAGCAATGTTTTCTTTCAAATAATTATAAAACAGTAGAATTGCGGTGCTATTTGTACTAGGCCTACATGTGCGCCCGAAATCACACCCAATTTCACCCAAATCCAATGAAGTATTTAATTGCTGTTGTCTCACTTGGACAAAGGACGACATGCCAAATCTGAACTCGGTTATCTATCTGAGCTCAAGGCCATAGTGGTTGCCTTTTGTCAAAAACAAAATCCTTATAATCCTGTGTCTTTGAGTGCCGAAGATATCCTGGTTTTAAAGCCAACGAGATATCACTGAAGTATTCCAACCAATACGGAAGAAAGCCGGCGATGTGTTATGAAATATGCCCTTTGTAAATTTTCAATTTCCTCAATAGGCATTTCCCCGAGGCGCCCCAACAGGAAATACAATCTAAACAAAAAATAACAAAAGGTCGCGTTTCCTGAAATGCCGTTATTAATTGGCGAAATTAAATTTAAACGAAAAATAATCAACGCGCAATGACGTCATGCGCGGAGAGAAATCGATCGCTGTGAAAAATGTTAATGAACTATCTCAAATATAAAAATATGGCCAGTGAAGCAGACAGGTCAATTACTATGATTGTGTCTTCCACACGTGCTTACAGAAAACGCCATGAACGGGAAAACGTAATTATAAACAAACATATCATCACGAATTTGCATTTGCTAAAATAAAGTTTATTTGATGGGGAAAAATACGATAAAATATCAAATGTCAGAGAGCATTTACGTGAACGTAAGGAAAAATACAGATATCAATGAGTTTTTAAAAATCGATATGGTGCCTTACTGTCGTTTTTTTATTTACTGAAAGATGGTTTCAAAGTTTACCCTGCAAACATTGTATTTCACTTTCGAATTTTGATTACGCAAAGTCACAGAATTTAGTCATAAATTCACTGATCGGATCGCCTTCGCATCTACATCGTGGATCCGGGGATTACATTTCGTACAGTGATTGATGGCCTCGCATTGTTTATTATTTATTTAAAAAAAATTCAACAAACAGTGCAAGCCGGATCTTCGAAAATCAGAATTCGGGTGTTTTTTTAACATGCCCACAGAATTAAAATGGATTCCACTGGTTTTCGATTTGCACATGTTATAGCAACTGTGCACCACACAGAGGAATTTGTAATGAAATTTACAATCAGCCCTTGCGCCTGACGATTATCCAGTTGCTGGTGTGTTTTTTTTTCAATCGAAAGGTGTAAATAAGTTCCCCTACGTCAGCGTCGTCATGGCAAGCGATAGAGCAAATAAAAAAAATCCTGAACTTATTCACACAATTAATGGACTATATTTCATTTTTCTTTAATCTTTTGATTTCGAAGCAGTGCGAAGACAGGCTGCACTAGTTTATCCACTAACTTCTATTTGAAAAGTGTGTGGAATGTGAGGGAAACTAATCAGTTTTTTTCTATTATATAGAAGAGTTGGTTCTGAAAAACTTGTGAGAGTTTTCTTGATGTATGAGACTTTGAACGCTGTCTGTCCTCAGAATAAATTAAGGAGATGGACAAAGTAAACTATTTTGAATGTCAACCTACAATTCGTCATACAGTATGTCACAAAAAAGTGTCCGTTTTACTGTTTTTTAAAATAACTACAAAACCACGAAGGCAGTTATGCAGATACCTCTTATCCTTGGCTTCAACCCCTATGAGTTTCATGTTATTTACATCACGCCTCGCTGCACAATGGTTGATCACAACATTTTTAACATTGTGACCAAATTCCTTGACTTATTCAATTTCAGTGCTGTGTTATGTACAAGCTGTATAAAATCCCATGTTGTGAAAAAAAGGCTGAATGGATGTGGTTTAGGATTGGAATCATTTGCCCTAGGGCATTAAACTCTTGCCATGATGACTGATGCAATGATGCCATGATGACTGATTCACAACATGAACGATTTTACACAGCTTGCATAATACATCACTGAAATTGATTAAAGGCAAGGAACTTGGTCACAGGGTCCAAAAAGGTTGTTGCGATCGATTGACCATTGTGAAGTGATGCGTTACTATAATTCAATGAAACTTATAATGTTGATGTCAAGAAAAAGGAGTTTCTGCACAATTAAAATAAAATTGACTTCATGGTTTTGTAGATATTTCAAAGATAGTCAGACGGACAATTTTTGGGGACAAACTGTACAGTGGAGAGTGATATTCGCAATCTTCATTCTTATAAGATTTTTTTTTTTGGGGGGGGTTAATTAATAATTAGAGATATTTTTCTCATAATACAGAGATATCGGGCAAAAATAGGTAAAAAAGGCGCCTTTACTCATGGGCCTACGATGGCGTATAGTTGACGGTATGAACGCATCACTTGGACATATTGGATATCGCGATTCAGTAAGTTGCACAATGAATCGAAGTCTGAGCAGTTCCCTTGAAACATAATGTCCAATAACACAATAATAACGCGCTGTTTACAAAAAGGAAACACACAATGACATCTGGCCGTCGGGACCCGATCAACAATTCCCCTTGCAACAACACATTTGTCCCATTTTTCCCTCTTTCTTTCCTATTTTGGTTTCCTTTATACTGTTATTCGTGCTTAATATAGAATCACAATTTGGGGACTTAAAGTTCCGGGAATTATTATATATTTGTTTTCTGCTGCACAAAATCCCCTCCCACGTTGTTTTTACACGTGAAATGAATGTAAAGCCGGTGTTACAGCGTTAAATTTTGTGAATGGTGTCGGGCTGACTCGCTCTGCACTGCCGTGCAATATCGGCTGCTCATATCATACATCTAGAATTGGACATAAAGACACTTTGAATATTTCTTTTAGAAATTCCGAAAGTTTCTCAACACTGCAAAAACAAAATAGCGGCGCTAAATTTAACATCAGTGTACGACCTGAAAAAAACCCCCCAAAACAAAAGAGAGTGACTCAAATAATGTTTCATATTTTTATTAATTGGCGTATAAACACTCTGAAGTAACTAATTTAGCTACACAAGTAGTAAAAAAACCAGCACATTTTCAGAAGGAGTTTCTGACAGGAATTACACTCTACTCTGTCTAATTACACTCGTAGGCCGACATGAAAATTAAGGAGAATTTCCTGATGCTCTTGTCTTACCTGGTTGCGTATGTGTCTAGTAACCTCTTGTCTAAGATGTTGTCCTCCGGTTCCCAGGTGTTGTGTCTGTGGACAGAGAAGCAATGTGAGTTGATATTAATTAATCATTATAAAAAAACAATACATGTTAAGAAGTGGAATCATTTTAATTGGTTGCGACGAAAATTATGTATTATCGTAAGGTACGCTGACTGCGTCCCAGATATCAAAACTATCGCAGACAATATGGGAAAAAATACAGCGCGCGTGGAAAAAAAATTACAACAGAACTGATCTTTGAGCCATTGATATTAAGGTTAAATTCTTCAGAGGTCATTTAAAAAGGCGACGCTTTGGCTAGTTCTAAATTAGACAATTATAGTTATTGTCTCCATTGCGATTTCTCAAAATGGCGTTCAATCAATTAAGCGACAAAATTGTTGAGCTAAATTGTCGAAACTTTGCGCAAAAATCGGAATTTATACAGAAACAACTCGCGATAGTCAAATGCTTGAATCGGATGGAAATTCCAGATAAACTCAAAGAAACTTACTTGTTGGACCACCCCTTCCATTTCACCAGATATTCCGATATTCCCTGAAAAAATATTAATCGGAAAGCAAGTAAAACTGTGTTAATCGGGCGATGTTCTTAATGCAGTCACTCACAATATAGTTGAAAAGTGCTAAAGAAGTATAGCTATATTTAATGGTTTTTTGGGTTTCATTCACTATTAAAACACCCAAAGTTCGCTAAGTCACATGTTATCATTCTATAGTGAGATATGATCCAAAATGTGTGGTAATGTCACTGTCAGTATCTATTTTGATATTTGTCTTCTTCATTGTAAAGATGCAAATGCTTATTGTTATTTTTCGCTTAACATTCAAGCCCTGGGCCCAATTTTACAGAGCTGCTTAAGCACAAAGTTTGCTTAAGCACGAAAAAACTTGCTTAATATAATCAGGTTACCCCACCAAAACTTCATGTGATTGTTGTGCTAAGTAAACAAGAGCTAAATACCAGTCACAAGCAATGTACATCGCATGGAGTTTTGGCTGGTAACATGATTATATTAGAGCCTAAGCAAGGTTTTTGTGCTTGGGCAAATTTTACGCTTAAGCAGATCATGAAACAGCTCTATAACAAGTCTATATTTTTTGCAACTAGGCATCATATAGTGCGCATAAGTGGTTGTATTTTGAACAGATATGATATGTGAGCGTGTCGGTAATTATCTCTCGAGTAATCAATATGATTAAAGGAATAACAAGCTTGGCGTCGTGGGGATTTTGATAGGTTTACCAATTACAGAAAATAAGTACCTTGTAAAAACAAGGCATTAAAATTCGTCTCGAAATATCTGTAAATAATTTTAATTTACAATTTGAAGGTATAGGCATGATATAAAGGACCTTTTGAAATTATGGTTTCTGCTGTCACGTGCGGGAGCTTTGATCACATATTGCAAACACAACATAAATGTTTATGTTCTGGTCTTAAGTTATCAAATTTCCAAATGACATTTGTAACCTCTTCTGTTCCTTATAGAGTCACCTGTAATGTTTGCATCGATCATGTTGTGTTCCATTCAAGGGGACTTCACCATGGTTTTCTAGTTTGTAAATAATGCATCTCTATATCTGTATTTATGCATGTTGGCTAATGAGGAAATAATGTCATTCTTCGAGCCATCCTGCGCTTTAAAGGCAAATTGGTAACGAGCACAAAGGTGAATACCATTTTCATAATAAACTCATCATTTTTGTTTTCGCCTGCCTTGTAGAACTGACATGTACCGTACCGGCTATGTGAAACAGTACCCTCGCGGTGTACATTAAATTCAAACCAACCATGATATGCGTTCCGCCTGAATAAGTTTTAACATAAGAATTTTTGCTTACATGATTATCATATGGAAGGCTTTTCATGAATGTTTAACCAAAGACGACAGAAGGGTCTACACACTGGGCCGCATTTAGCCCATGTATTACGGGGTAATCATATACGATAGGACTGCCCGGTTCTCTCCGCCAATCTACAACCAGTCAACATTACGTGTGGCGCTTATTCAGTCATTCCGTCTGTCAGTCAGTCCGAAAGATACACGAGGCTGGCTCTTTGAGACCAGAAGAAAAGAATCTCTCGCGGTGATGTATGTAGCAGGCTAGAACGTAAGAATCCGATCAAGTGGCCCGACGCTAGCAGTTCTGGCTTATTCTCAATCTCACCGTACTGATATTATCTGCCACAATGTCCAATCATGAGTGCAAGATGATCACGTGCACAGATTCGTCTATGGATTATAATTCGACACATTCGCACCCTTTCGTATACAATCCCTTAAAGTCACGTAGGAACGGACTTGGTAATTACTCAGAAACGATATCGATTTAATGAGAAAATCCTTGCTAAGCATGAAAAAAAGGACTGGTATCAATGAATAATGCCTTCGCCTGAAATGGTATCGTCAGGGAAGCCAATAATCATCGATGTTGGTTTTTAAAAAGGTGTTCGCAAGCACATTTTTGTTTCACACTTATTAAACGACATCCACTGTGACCTCAACGCCCCTAGTGCTGATTTAGAGATTGTTCACGAGAAGGTGCGATTTCAAAAGATCAAAAGGCAATTTTTGAATCGCTTGCACCGCTCGGGCACTTGTGAGAACCAAGACAAATGTGCGTATGTTTTCTCTACTAACTGAAACATCAACATGTTGATTGCTACGCACTCTGCTTAAGATTTTGAGCAATAATGTTCCTTCAAACGAAAAAAGAAATACACAAAGTCCAAATGGTCCATTCAGTCGGTTAATTTATGTGACATCAAGGTCTCGTAGGATGGGTTACTTTGTAGTTGGATTCCAGAGATAGTGCGCGTTATAAATATTTGCATTATAATAACAAGTATACCCTTTGGGAGACACTTTAGCGTCATAAGTTATACCTTTGGAAGACACGTCGATTTAGAGAGACATTTCAATGTCTCCCTAATTTACATCCCCTACTTAGAGGCAAAATTTTACCGTCGCAAATAGGCGTTATGTCATTTCAGGCAGAAACCTCAATGTCACCGCTATTCCAGCACCAAAAGCTGCCAGAAGTTTGTATATTTTGCTGTCGTAGATTTTCTTTGCTTTGGTGACTCTTTGTTGTTGCAGTTGGCCTACATGACAGTAGGCAAATGTGCAAAGTTTTCTCACAAATGTCTTCAGTGAGCAAATTGTGGGTTCACAATTTGAACAGAATTTGAAATGTCATAAGAGCAACAGCGCCCTCATTTGTCAGGAAAAGCATGGACAATTTAAAATGTTTAAAGAAGTGCACTTTTCAATAAGATTAACCAAAAAGGGATGTCACATAGTTTTCATACATTTAAAGAGGAGTGGAAAGTTGCACAAAATATGTTCCCAAGTAAAATTCATGTTATGAGCCTTTCTGCCATTTAAGTACTATCACTCATCAAATCTAATCCATCTCGTCCGTGTACATGTAGCTCCATATTTATCGTACGATTGCGATTGAGATGTTATAGCGAAATGCACGAATGACAAACAAAAATGACTGTCCTGATCAAATTACTGGCTTTATTTTGGCGCGTTCACAACCAATTATCAGATTCACGGGCGGGAAATATTGAGTGCGATTAAGTTACTCGTGTTTTGTTACCGCATTTTGTGCACGAAGAAATGGAAATGTTCTTGCTGTCTTAACGGATCCATTGTGCTTTTCAACCCCGTCCTCAAAAAGGAAATAAAAAAATCCAGCACCTTAGAAACAACCCTTTTTTTTGGTGTAGAGCGAAATATGAGGTGTAACGGAACTATTGCTATGGTCTCCTTAGGAAACCTGATTTCCTGAAAATAATTCAGATTGGTACTACTGATTGGTAACTATTTTATTTAAATGTAAAAAAAACCCAAGTATTGCTCTAGAAGTTGTGAATATTACAGTCAAAATGGCGGGAAGTAATAGTCCTCCGCGTGAAAAAAATAACAACTTTGAGGCAAGGGGAGAGCTGGTCAAACTTGATGAGGGCGCTATTTAGGTCACTGTATTAATAGCGCATACCACTTTAATACTGAGGATTTATAAATGATGTGTTCTGGAGTTACATGCACATTACTATTTCTATTTTAGTAACTTTGTGACTTTTCTCCGAAAGCGCTGGCTGGAATCCCTGAAATGATATTGACAACAGTGAAATTCGGTGACATCGCCTCTTTCCGGTATTGAAATAATTGTGGCTGGAATGAAGGTACAAACTTCACCTGAATCTCCAAAAATAACCATGTTGCCTGAGCAGCCTAAATAATAACCATATCGAAAACATTCGTGTCAAAGCAGCAACTTACTTGTTTCAGCAATCATGCTGACACCCATCCCCTCAATCCTACTAATTGAAAGATACCTTTCTCCTTCGTTTCCCTTTAATTGCTTCCACGATGTAGACATCACTCCGAGACTGGCTAAGTCCTTCCACTACTCCAACGGGGCTGGCTGGTATGTCCAGACTGACCGGGCTTCTCCCCAGCTCTACCGGGTCCTCCGCGTCGCAAGCCCCGGGGGAATACATCCCATCACACGGTGATCCCATAGTTTGTCATCATTCAATGCAAATATGACAGTGCAGTCAGTGAATATAGCGCACCATATTTGCTTATATTATCACCAGAAGCCAGTAACACACATTGCACGAGACGGCTATTGAACATGTATTCTTTGGACCGACCTCGTATGCGGATCTGCCGCCATAGCGTTTATCATCGTCAGTTAAACACATCGATGTTTTCCGCATACGTGTACAGATTCACATGTATCATTGAGTTGGCGGACGCGATATGGTGGCACACATGATGAAGTATGGGACGGCTATATCGACGACGCCACTCGATATAGTGACGTAACCGACGTCAGTGATCACAGAATGAGATAGGGAATCCAGTAATCGACTCTCTACAGATGCTAGGCTTCGATTCCACTCAGTGTCGAGGTTTAGTGCTATGCCATCATAGATACATGATGATCCTAGACCTTCAGGTCCCAGCTAGCATGCACGGGTCAGCGGATTCAGCGAATTATTCCACAAAGCGTGTCCCTCTAGGCTCTACCTATATGATCAAAACCAAACACACAGAAATAGACAGTCCACCCACTCGATATTCAAACCAAACAGAAAGTGGGATACAAGATGCATGTCTGTTCAACCACGGTCTGTTCTACCATGGTAAGCCCACGTACAACACAACGCAACTTTTATTTGGTATCATACGCTTCACTTGGTATCTTATCGTGGTAGGCCTTTATAATTTTCTCGTACACAATACCATTTTAAAGGTACATAGCATCATTTGCTCTTTATGCATTTTTTGTTGGTATCAAGCAAAAAATTGCTCAAAATCGTTACGAAAGGATGCATAACAATCAACCTTTGGAGGTTTTAGCTCAGTGCATGGCTACTGTACACTTTGAGAACACAGAAAACACGTGTACACATTAATTTTTTTGTATGGTTTGGTAACTGGAGTACGTAGCTAAGGCCAAGAAAGTCTTCGGTTTCTGGTATGGAGCTTGCCCCAAAAGTGGTGCGGCGACGCGGCTTTCTTTTTTTTTTTTTACTTTTTTTCTTCAAATGTCGGTGATGACTACAAATGGTGCCTGACTAAATTTAGTACAAAACGTACCGCTATGGGAGCCCAGAGAGGCCACATAAAGCTTATACTCGATCGTAACCCCATCTAAAAACACATTAAAATTGTGCAGCAGCAGGATTCCAGTCAAACCAGAGAGTTTGCCGGTTTTGAGACATCATCTTACAGACCCAGAAACCGGAGCCTTTTTTTTGGCCTAACGCACGTTACATGTGAGCCAGAGGGGCAAACCTGGCCACGCTCAACGATTGTTATAAATAATTTCTGGAGGAATGATTCCACAAGGTATTTGGTGCCATTCCTACCTTCGCTTGAGCAAGTCTATACTTTCCGGACAATTGCGATATTCCTACTGCAATCCTACATGCCTTTCAAATAAACACCCATTCCCATATTGACAGTGTTTGTCTTTCTCAAACACCGTGAAGGATGCTTCTTTTTATTTGGAAAGACATATCATGCAACTGAACATTGTAACAATAGATCTTTTATGTCGATGTATATGCGTGACAATAATGTTGTGTGGGTGGCAATAATGGTGCAACCACAGAGCCAATGGTGCAACCAAATATTGGGGTTTCAACCCGTCAGGTTGAAAAGGTATGGGCACACACACGACATGTACGTACTGCTGAAGCTTAGGCCAAAAAAAAGTCTCCGGTTTCTGGTATGGAGCTTGCCCAAAAAGTGGTCCGGCGACGCGGCTTTTCTTTTTTTTTTTACCTGATTTTTTTTGCTTCAAATGTCGGCTGATGACTGCAAATGGTGCCCGACTAAACTTAGTGCAAATATATGGGAGTCCAGAGAGGCCACATAAAGCTTATTCTCGACCATAACCCCATCTAAAAACACGTTAAAATTGTGCAGCAGCAGGATTCCAGTCAAACCAGTGAGTTTGGCGGTTTTGAGACATCATCTTTCATTGAAAAATAACTTTTTTCATTTTGCCGACGCGCATGGCTACGGCGACGCGCGCGCATACCAGAAACTTTTTTTTTGGCCTTAACGGTTCATTATTTATCAGGGCCCTACATTTTGGAACTCATTAAATCAAACTCTTAGAATTGTCAGTAGTAGGCCTTTATTCTTTATTCAAGTCTCTGCTTATGGAATGTTACAATAATGCTTAATTTTAGTTTTACTTATTATTTGCTGTGAACATATTCTTATAAGGATTTCCCATGTAGGTTCTGATTGTACTAGATTTGTTTTGTCTTGTCCCGTTTCTGTTGGTCCCTTGTCTCTGTATGTGTAACTTCAAGTGTACTTCATTGTGTAGTTAAAGGAACAAATGTAATTAGTATTTATCATGATATATCTTTTTCTACACATAATGGACTTCTCCACTTGACAAGCTTGCTTTTTGGAGAAGCCCACCGCTTAAGCTTATCCGTTTAAAATCCAAACTATTGTATAAACCCTTTCTTTCAATAAAGATGAATGAAATATGAATGAATTAATGTGAAAGCGGAAATGCACTAATTGCCAATGTGAATATAGTCTCTGAGCAGAACAGGTCATGGAGGAAGGCCCAAGCATGTATAACATGTGCAGAGTAAATATCTAGTCCAACACGTCCTCACCATTGTGCCTTGACAAACAAAACGTGTCAGGAAATGCATGAACTATACCAAGTCTGTATTCCATAAAACGTCAACCACAATGTCTTCCGTGTCTGTAGTATCAAGGAAATAGTGCACTTCTTTCTAATGGTTACACCTCGACCCAACGTGAACTGCGAAATCAACTAACGGTGTTCAGCTGTAGTTTTGCTGTTAAATGTTTTGGACTGGATAATCGCTAAAATTGGACCAGGTCAAAAACTACTCTGCAAGGTAATGATGGTTGAGTATTACCCGTGAGTTGTGCTCTTATACCTTGTGAGTTCCGATGAGTTAACAAGTCGCCAAAATGCATCATGGGATTTCGTGACAACGCCCTCTGTCGTCAAGAGAAACAATTATTAAAAAGACATGACAGCAAATTAGGCATTGAAAACAATACTACATGCTGTCAGTTGTCGTCTAAACCTGAGAACACCAAAAAGCACTTAGGAAGACCAGCATGTTTCAGCGATTGGAATGATGAGATATCATTCAAATATTGGGTGCATTCGATTAGCTTCCCCGAGTCAAATCGGGGGGCTTAGGGAAGACGGTCCACGTCATCATGCATCATCACCCGCGGCCTCACCCGACGTCAACCATTCGTGAGATGACGGCTTCAGTGACGCGCTATGGCGCAGTAAGAAGTGGAAGCCATAGACGAAAACGCCCGTTTTGGACGAAGTCTAACTTTGAAATCGACTGCCTTTCTGCCATATGCAAAAAAATATATAAAAATCATACCTTCGAACTGGAATGAAAGCCTCTTAAGTCGCAATGAGTTATTATTACCATTATTACCAATCCATCCCGCTGTCCAGCCACCATATTTGTCTGAATCTTGGAATTCCACCACTACGGTACCACTCCGCGAGCAGGCTCGGTGGTTGCTGCTCCGAGTATGACGTCAAACCTAATCGAACGGAACAGGGTCTAACTTGAGTGGACCCGTGTGAGCTAATCGAACGCACCTTTATGTGGTCACAAATATTCGATTCGGAATGCACCTGCGTGTCCTATAATCACCAGTATATTTATTCACCAGTCTGTTTCATTTTACCGTTAATATCATTTTTTGAGAGAAAACAAATCTCGACGATAACAAAGTGACGTTGAAGAAAGAAATGGAGGAAAACCAATTATAGGTCTATTGATCAGATTACGTAAAGACTTTAACGTGACTGATTCTTGCACGTTTTGGCAGGACCTGAACCTCAATCAACCAGTGATTTGATGTCCAACAGCTACCACCATACCTAGTTAACAAGTAACAGGTTGTCATATAGTTGCGGGTATCTCAGTAGTCAATGTAAAAATGACGTACACCATGGTCTATCACATTTGAGCAAATTCGCTGATTAATTATACAAGACAACCGCATCTTGACCTCTAGATTTTGACCAATCAGGGGCGCTTTCTATATCGGGTCTTCGGTCAAAAATGATCACCAGAACTTCCATTAAATGCCTCTTGAATGGTAGAGATGTTACTGTTGCCTACCCACTGACAGCTATAACTCATATAGTTCGAGGTATGGGGACGGTTGTCCGACTGTATAGATGAGTTCGTGTTGGTGGTTAGCTTTTGAAACAAGCGATCTGATTGGATTTTTTTTTCAATTCATATTTGGAAATGTCACGGATAATTAGTCGCAGGAGGTCATAAAAGTAAATCAGTGGACTCGGTTTGCCAGGGTACCGTCTTGCGACGACAAGAGTAACAAGGATGGTATACGGGGGCATTCACGCTTTTGTACACGTGTTGATCACCTGTGAGTGAATTTCAACTGCTTTGACCTCTTAATTAAATTGACTCAATCCAAGTTGGAGACAACACTGCTAGTGAGTATCGCCTCTCTTTTCTCAAAGACTCATTCTCCCGCTATAGCCTCTGAAAATAATGGTTGTTTATTTATTGGTTTCGCTTTAATTCTCGGAAAGGAATTCACGCAATCAGAGCAAAACAGCAAACTCACACAGCCTCTTTGCGCCCGACTCGGTCATTTTGTTAATGACTATAGAATAAAACTAGAGATGTGTTTGTGGACAAACACAAGCTGTTTCGGATATTTGAAATACTCTATGCACGTGATGAACAATCAGTGACGTCACTAAAAATGTCATCTATAACAGCACATTATACGTACATGTCAAGTTATAACCAAATCGAACATATAGGTCTGTAAATATAGGCCTATAAAGAACAAAATGCCCCTTTAAGGGACGTCACATGACATTTGATGATGGCATCACATGAATTTTCATCTATAACCTATCTCGGCATTGGTACGATCACGAATTTCTTCTAGGACCATCTGTGGGTGGTATAGTCTAAGTGTGTACCAGCTCTAACGTCGATCGCATAATTTACAAAAGTGCAAATGTAGAGTGCTTTAAAACGTGTACAAAACACATGGGGAAAAATGCATCTTTAATGTGACGTAACCCAACACCTGATGATGCCACGATCACACATTTCTTCTTGGACCATCTGTGGGTGGTGGTCTAAGTATGTATTAAGTCTGAGGTCGATCGCATTGATGAAGGTGCCAAGGTGGAGTGTTTTCAAACGTGAACAAAACATATGGGGAAAATGTGCATCTTTAATGTGAAGTAACGTGACACCTGATGACGTCACAATCACGAATTTCTTCAAGGACCATCTGTGGGTATTGGTCTAAGTGTATACCAAGTGTAACGTCGATCGGATTTACAAAAGTGCCGAAATGGAGCGTTTTAACACATGTACAAACCCTATGGGGAAAAACGCATCTTTAATGTGACGTAACCTGACACTTGATGACGTCACGATCACGAATTTCGTCTAGAA